TTTCTTAAGACACTTATTTTATGTATATGGCTGTTTTATCCACACACTTGCTCATCATATGTGTCCTGGTGACTATAGAAGCCAGAAGAGGGTGATGGGTCTCCTGGAACTCGAGTTGTGCACAGTTGAAAGCTACCTTGTAGGTGCTAGGAATTGAACCTGTGTCCTATGGAAGATAAATGGTCTTAACTGCTGAGCCATTCTCCAGCCACATGACCCTATTTCTTTGCCCTGGTGAGACCCTCCTGTGAAAAGTCATCCTGGAGTAGTGAGCAGACATCCTACTCCTGCTCCTGATTACTGGGAAAGCTTTCTCAACTGTGCTCTTGGGAATCAAGCAGACTGCAGTTCGATTTATTGTTTTGTTTGTAATGGATAACTTTTGTAGGGTTGAGGAAGTTCCTCTGATTCCTAATTTTCACACACTTTTGGTGTGTTTATTGAGATATTTCTATTTTTCCTCTTTTCTTAGTTTGTTCATAGGTCTAATTACACTGATTTTCCCCTAATGTGTCTGTTCCTCCTTCTAACCAGAACACTTTATGGAGAGAAATCCAGCTGACTGTTGTTGTTGCTTCCCACTGCTCCTCACTCCTTTTGTTTGTTGCTCTTTGATGATTCACCCTTAGTTCAGGAACTGGAAGACCCTGGTCAAGGTTCTGTTTCCACCCACTCTAGTCTTCTTTCCACCGTGGCATCCGTTACGGACCAGGACCTTCTCTGAAAGGGGTTTGCAGTTTCCTTTCAGGTACTGGTGGGCAATTGTAAAGTGGGTTTTTGTGGTCAGTTTCTTTCGTTTTTCTTAAGAAGTTCGCATTCTTATATTCATATTTTACAGGTGAAAAGCTCCAAGGAAAATTTCACAGAATCATCGACTCTGTTAAGCGTCTCTGGTGCCGGGCAGGGATCATCTTCATCATCTTTATGGTTGTTGTAGCTGCAGTTGTGTTGCCCTTAGTTTTTTCACTGTCAGGTGAGTGACTCATGTCCAGGTTCTGCAGTGTTCTGTCCGCATCCACGCTGTCACTTTTACTTATGATCACTGTGAGCCAGGCACTGTGGGAAGGGCTGGAGAGAAAACTCACTGGAAATTCCTGTTCTCTGGGAACTTGGAGTCTAGCAGGAAGATGCAGTGAAGGATCAGCACAGGCTGTGGTGTGCACAGGAGGCCAGGCTCAGCATCCCTGGGAAGATGACATTCAGTAACCTCTAGAGAGAGATGCTGGAGATATGTGTCCACCTGGGAGACCAATGGCAAGCAAAGAACAAAGACAAGAAAGTAAAGGAGTAGCCTCAAGGAGGCTGCTGCAGCTAAGGGAAGTGAGGGGAGTGAAGAGCAATGTAGTTGGGGAAGGTACCGAACCCCCACCCCAACCATGACTCATGGTTTCAATTAATATCTTCAACCATGGTCTGAAAATATTAAATAGAATGTTCCAGAAATAGGTAATTCTCAAGCTTTCATTGTTAGACTATTCTGAATAATGTGATTAAACATGTATAACTTTCCTGCCATAGCTAGAGTAAATCATTCATGATATTATTTTATAAAATCAACTTTAACCATGTCAATGAATAATATACAAGTCTAAACTTGGACAAACATTTGCCAAGAAGACTTAGTCAGTGTAACCTAAACTGTTATGTAGCTGTGAAAAGAGTCAGATAAAGAGAAGATACAGTCACCTTCATTTTTTTGTTGCATTTGTCCCTTTCATTAAAGCCTCATGGTACTGCATATAAAAACAGGAAACAGCTACAATAAATTGCCCTACACTAAAAATAAGTGTGTGTGTGTGTGTGTGTGTGTGTGTGTGTGTGTTTGTGATTTCTAGCATTTATTTCCTATCAAATCACTTGTTTGTAGGCTCAATAGCCCTTCAAAGGAGCCATACATTCATTCTTATCTGTTAAAGGAAGAAAAAGACAAAGTTATGAAAGAAAAATATCTATTATTTTTCTAAGCAGCCCTCTGAAAATTTGCTGCATTCAGGGTTTCTTACAAACACACACACACACACACACACACACACACACACACACACACACACACTCACATTTAGGGCTTCTTACACACACACACACACACACACACACACACACATACACATACACACACGCACACGCACATTTAGGGCCTCTTACACAAGCACATGTAGCTAGAGTTTTTTTGTCTTGTCCACAGTCAGGACAAATCTTTGTCACCCGCCAGTCCCACAGTTGCTCAGACCCAACCAAGTAAACATAGAGACTTATATTGCTTACAAACTGTATGGCCATGGCAGGCTTCTTGTTAACTCTTTTTATAGTTTAAATTAATCCATTTCCATAAATCTATACCTTGCCACGTGGCTGGTGGCTTACCAGTGTCTTCACATGTTGTTGGTCATGGCGGCAGCTGGCTGTGTCTCTCCCCTCAGCCTTCTGCTTCCCAGAATTCTTCTCTCTCCTTGTCCTACCTACTTCCTACCT